CCCCAGCCCGGCGCCGCGGCCGCCCGCTCGCCCGGTCTCAGTCCGTTTTCAGAACACACTCCATCACCTGGTTTCCAGAACTCAGATTGCGCAGTGGTCTCGTCATCATTGACCAGGGCGAACAGTTACAGCGGAGCGGCCTCCCTAACCCTCCCTCATCTCTGGCCTAGCCCTCCCTCATCGCCCCGCCCGGTCCCCTCGGTCCCCGGCCCCACGTCGCCTGTAGCATTGCTGTAATCCTCTTAGGCTCCCAGCGAGCAGCGCCGCCAGCCATGGGGCCCAATCATATAAGGAAAATACTGCGGGCTCATCTGGGGGCTGCACTGAGGACCCGGGGACACCCCCGTCAGCTACGACCCTCGCCGCATCCCCACCGCCCGCCCCAAAGACGAACCTCCCCGAACCCACTCCGCTGGGGCTCCGGCCGCCCACCGACCCCAGGCGCCTGGGCCTCGGCCCCGAGTTTACGCAAACGCCCGCCCCCGCCGAGCCCGGCTCAGCCAATCCCCGAACGCTCACCGAACGTCCGGTCCCGCCCACCGGCGCTTCCCTCGAACCCGTCCGCGCTTTCCCCAGCATGGTGTCCGGGCGGCTAGTCCAAGGGTTAAGGAAGTTCGCCGGCGGAAAGAAGGGAAACGTTCATTACCTGTTGGGGAGAGGGGCGGGGAGACTTCCAGGGATAGGATGGATAGGGTAAAGGCATTCTCTAGATTTGGAAACACGTAAAGTCTTTAAGAACAGTGATGTGAGGGGGAAACTCCCACTCGCCAGGGACGCTCCTTTCTCCAAGGCCCATCCCCCGGGGCTGGGGAGGAGCGGGTTTGTCCCTCCGGTCCCCGCGGGATGGGGCGAAGAGAGCGGCGTCTAGACGAGGACATGAACTCCGCCAGCCCAGAGCCAGCCGGGGACTGCGCGCCCAGTAGGTGAAGGTGCAGGGCGTGGCCTCGCGGGCTCCGCCCCCTGCTCTTAAGAGTGGGAGTTGACAGCCTCTCCCTGAATAGCTGAAGGGGAAGCTGCGCCGCCGGTCCCAAGCCGCCGCCATGGCCCTTCTCCGAGGTGAGCCACCCCGCCTTTCCCCGCGGTCTTGCCCTCCTCAGGCCAGATTTCACGTCGAGGGGCCTTGGTTTACAGCTTAGTCTCATCAGCAATAAAGGGGACTTAAAAAAAAAAAAAAAAACCACCACCCATCCCAAAAGGATTGTTTGGGGTAAGGAGGAACCCCTTGTGAGGCACTGGCCGCCGAGACTGAAACGCAGTTTGCCTTTGAGAGTTGAGGCCACGGTTTGCTCGCTTCTGACCTTGGAGGTCATTCGCCTTCTCGTGCACGAGTGCCCCGCGTAAGTGGAACTCGCTGCTGGGAAGCGAGCTGCGCCCTAAGCCCGGGCCTCCTGGGACGCAGGGTGCTGCTCGGGCCGGGCCGCCCGGGGCTCGGGCCGGCGTGGGCGGGCTTGCGGGGAGATCTCTTAGAGTCGCCGGGGAATGTCTGCCCGAGGGACCTGCTCCTCCCTGACGCTTGGTGGTGTTCGGTTGGAAACCTTCGTCCCTTTTTCCTTTCATTCCATTGAGTGACTCCGAGAAAGCGCAGTCACTAAGTACATACGTTCTAGGGTCATCAGCTTTAAAAGAATTCTGTAAACTCCCTTTCATAACAAATGGCCACAACCAATGGAATGTTAGTTTTAAGGATATGAAAGTTTATCCTTATTTTACGAGTCCTTTAAAGAACATTCAGGTAGAACGCTTCATACCAAGGTCTCGAGGCGGGAAAGCGCTCGGCAGGACCTAGGACGGACCGCGCTGGTGGTCAGAGCCCCGGGGCTCCGCGGAGCCTGGGGGCGTGGGGGGCTTACTGTAGAGCCAGAGGCAGGCGATGGAAAACGTTCAAGCAGGAGAATGATAGGACCCGATTTCCACTCTGCCCAGGTTTCGTCAGGGTTATAAACTGCCTCTGTTTTATAGACAGAAGAATTGAAGACCATTTAAGGATCTATTGCAGAGATCCAAGCCACAGCTAATGGTGGTTTGGACCCGAGTTGGGAGCAAAGGAGCTGGGGGAAAAGAGGGAGGGATGACTTTAGATTGGGAGATGGATTTGGTAGAACTTGGTGATAGACGGCAGGTCAACGAGAAGGAAATGTGAAGAGTGACTTTAGGTGTCTGGTTTGAAGAATTGTGTTCATACTGGTAGAACTTAAAAGTGAGAAAAGCTGGAGAAAGAGTAGATTTGGAAAAGACTTAGGCACTCAAGTGGAAACGTCAGGTAGGCAGCTGGACGCGGGGATCTGGAGCTCAGAAGAGCAGAAATGGCATGAGTAGTTCAAGGGAAAAATAGATATTCCAAGACAAAATGTAGTGTGTCCTATTTCCTACAGTTGGATTTAAATGGTCAGTGCTCTTTTCAACTCTGAATTTACTACATTTAAAAAACAGCACATTTTTTTAAGGCAAGGTGTTTTAAAGAAAAAAATCAGTTCCATCTCCAAATCTATCTCAAGTCATCCCTCTCTCTCTTCCCCCAGCTAGGGTCCAAAAACCATCATTTGTTGTGGCTTGGACCTTTGCAATAGATTCTTAAGTGGTCTTAAATTCTTTTGTCTATAAAACACAGTTTTACAACCCTGACAAAATCTGGGCAGAGTGGAAATCAGATCCTGTCATTCACCTACGTGAACGTTTTCAATTGCCTTCCACATATAAAAGCTGCATTGTAATGAGCATCATTTATAAACAAAATATTTTTATGATTTCTCTATTTAACATTTTATCAGTGGTTTCTTACCCTTTTCTTATAATACAGACCCCTCTGAAAATTTGATGAAAACTATGAACCCAGTTAAGGGAATGTACATCAGCACCTGTATTAAGGAAGTATATAGTATATGAATTTGTGGTATAGAGTACCGTGGTATTAGAGCTAGTGAGCATATTTTTACCTATTTCCCTGTTTTACGGATGAGGACACTGATGTCCAGAAAGGTGAAATAGCTTGTTTATATGACACAGGTAATTAGTGGCTATGACTACAACCCAGGCTTTAAGCTTCAAATAGCAATTCTTATTGGCTGGTTAGAATACATGAGAGATGCACTTCTCTCAAGTAGCATACCAGGTGCTTGCTGGGTTAGTGGATGAGAGAGAACACGTGACTGATTATTGTAGGGAAAAGATCACATCTGAATGTGAGCATGGACTTTGGTAAAGATTGTCATTAATATATCAGATTTCTGTCAACAAGAACCAAATCCCCGAGGTGTGTTTTTTTACTAACACCCATCCCAGTGTTTGGTAGGAGAGTTGCACCCAACAAACCTGAGTTCTCTTACTGCTCATTAGCTTTGTCGGGAATGTTTGTGTAGTCCTCCAAGGCAGCTAGGTGGGGCTGCCAAATTACTTTAATCCTGAAACTGAAATGGATGAAGTAGCAGTTTTCCTTCATTTGTCTTTGTTGCTGTCTGTAGTTGCTTTAATGATGAGTCAGTGTGTACCTAACAATGTGATGTAAAAAGCACATAGAACAAATCTCAGAGGGAAGATAGGGGTGGGTGGGGAGAGATTAACCAAAGAATTTATATGCAAGTGTACATAACCCATGGACACAGTGTGGTGAAGGCCTGGGTGGTAGGTAAAAGGGGTTAATGGAGGAAAAAGGGGACATCTGTAATATTTTCAATAATAAAGGTAAATTTTTAAAAAACAGGCAGAATTCCTATTTCTCTTTTAGTATTTTTTCTCTCCAGTCACATTAGCCACCTTGTCGGGCCCTTCCTTGGCGTTTCTGATTCACTGAACTCTAGATTAATGTCTTTACACTATCTTTCAGTTTTTGGAAATCTGAATTTCTGTTTTCAGGTCCTTTTAAAATAAACAAGATTTTAGTTTGGTGTTAAAGATTGTTACATTTTAGACCTTTTAACAGCCACATAAAATTGGCATCAGATCAAATAATTATTGACACAATATCCAGTTTATGAAGTTACAAGAAAAAAATCCTTTAAATTGTTTAGTCTTTATACCGCCACATCCAAGATTTTAAAAATGTATTTAATACCATTTTCCCATTCAGAATAATTGTATTTCAGTGTTAGCCTTACTCAAGATAACCTTTGCAGTCTGAAAACACAAGTAAGCAGAAGTGATGTAACTAAAGGGAAAGTTATTGCTTTGTTTTTATTTTCCCACACTTGTAAATATCTCCTTTCACCATTAATAGTACTTCCCCACACAAAAATGCCCTCTTAGACTATGAAGTACAGGGAGCAACATGGAATTACCCTTTGTTGTTTCGGGTAAGTCAGTGGTCATATGCCCCCTCATTCTACCCTGGTATCCCCTATTATTAACATCTTGCATTAGTTTTGGGAAAATTTTCCAAGGCCAAGAGACCTCTGAAAGAGGTTGACAACTCCAAAATTACACCGAGTTTAAGGGAACTTACCGACAGAAGCCGCCTCTTAGCAGCGAAATGGTAGATCTTCACACTCAAGAGAGGAATGGGGCTTGTTATATATAGCCAAGGGCAGGGATTTACACAGGTGGCTTGTAGCCACATGGCATGGGCTTAGTAAGAGCTCTATACTTCAAAGCAGTAAACAACTTAATAGGCCCACCCTTCAGGTGATACAGGTTCACCTCAGTCACTTTAAGTACCAGAATCATTTCACCTAACAATTAGTGGGGTATATTGATGAGCCAATTGATGAGCCAATACTGATATTATTAACTGAAGTCCATAGTTTACATTAAGGCTCACTTTTTGTGTTATACAATTCTTTGGGTTTTGACAAATGTATGTAATGACATGTATCTACCATTACGGTATCATGAAGAGTAGTTTCACTGCCCTAAAATTCCCTTGTGCTCCACCTGTTCATCCTTCCTTCCCACCTTCCACCGTCTGGTAATCACTGGTCTTTTTACTGTCTCCATAATGCACCAAACTAATATTTATGGCCTTTTATAAATATCTGAACATTATATCTGTAAAGAGCTATATCTCTTCTAAATTATAGTTATATATGTTGTTCCTCTTTTAGACTAAATTTCTCAACTGGAATGAAAGAAGCAGCTGAGATTTTTTTTTCCTTTTAGTTTAGGTTTAGTTTGTTCCATGGAAAGAGATCACTAGCATAAATGGGGCACTATATTTAGATACCAATAGTGGTATAATGTTTGAATGGTCTCAGTTATAGGTCAATATTTGGGCACAAATCCATTATTAAAAGTTTAATGGTTTCTTTTTTTATATCCTCACCTGAGGATATGTTTTTATTGATTTTTATTTTTTAGAGAGAGAGAAAACACCAATCGGTTGCCTCCTCTACTGGCCCCAACTGGGACTCAAACCCCCAATCAAGGTGTGTGCCTTGACTGGGAATCAAGCCCGAAGCCTTTTAGTGCCTGGGACAATGCTCCCACCATCTGAGCCACCTGGCCAGGGCAGGCCCATGGTTTCTTGACAAGACGTGGAAATGAATGCTCAGATAGTTTTGGGGAGACTTAGTGTATGCAAAGATTTTCAGTTACCTAATTGAAAGTTGTACTTTACAATAATGTTTCACAGTGGGATTACAGTATTTAAAGCATGTTAAAGGACAATGACTAATCTATGATTGCTTACAAATCTCTCCTTACTGCAACAGGTGTGTTCATCGTTGCTGCTAAGCGAACACCCTTTGGAGCTTATGGAGGTCTTCTGAAAGACTTCACAGCTACAGACTTGACTGAATTTGCTGCCAGGGCTGCCTTGTCTGCAGGCAAAGTACCACCTGAGACTATTGACAGTGTTATTGTAGGCAATGTCATGCAGGTTAGTCGGGCAGAGGATGGTATTCATTCCTGTGGCTTTATTTTGTCAATTTCTAAAAGTAGTTCCTTTAACATGACATAATGGTGAATCAGTTAATAGTTAAAGGTATTTATAATTTGAGTAATCCTCTGACTCCAGAAGCAATGACATGCATAATTCAACAGAACATATATTCTGGAAACTATATATCTACCTAATTTGGGATACATTTTATTGCTTCTTAGTTTTTTGGGTTTGTTTTTTCCAATTGTATTACGATATAATTGACTATTTATTGCTTCTAAATATATTAATTTCCTTGACTTATTTGAAGTTAATTGGTTCTCTCTCTTTACCCACCTAAGGAATGTAGCATACCCAAGCAAAAAAGTTAAAAAAAGTAGGACAGCCTGGCCCATGTGGCTCAGTTGGGTGGAGCATTGTCACATGCACCAAAGGTTCACAGGTTCGATTCCTGGTCAGGGCATATACCCAGGTTGTGGGTTCAGTCCCCAGTTTGGGTGCATTAGGGAGGCAACTGATTGGTGTTTCTCTCTCTCCTGCTCCCTTCCTCTGTCTCTGAAGTCAGTAAAAACATATCCACTGGTGAGGATTAAAAAAAAAAAAAATAGGACAGTGCACACAAGTAAAGCCTTTTTACCTGGATGGGCCAGTTCTTCACATTTTATCAAATTTGTTCTAGCTCCCTCTGCAGTAAATGCTGCTATTATTTTTTTTAAAGTGATTTCTTTTTCCTTCTTACTCAAAGAGTAGTGCTTGGACCAGCACTTTGCTTCACTAGGGAAATGTTTAGAAATGCAGAATTTCATGTAGTCCTAGACCTATTGGTTGAGAACCCACATTTTAACAAAATGCCCCAGGGTGCATTTTTAAGTTGGGAAGCACCTCTTAACTGTCCTGACCAGTTGTTCATCTCTCCCCTCCCTAGATCTGCAGATCTCAGCCTCAGTTTCACTTATATGAGGAATCTAATAAGCAAAATAAACTAACAAAATAGAAACAGACTCATTGATACAGAGAACAGACTGACAGCTGTCAGAGGGGAGGGGGAAGGGGGGCTGAGTGAAAAAGGTAAAGAGATTAAGCAAAAAAAACCCTCATAGACAACAGTATGTTCATTACCAGAGGGAAAAGGGGGCAGGGAGAGGTAGCAGGGGTAAAGGGGGATAAGTGGTGATAGGAGACAGGACTTGGGGTGGTGAACACACAATACAATATACAGATGATATATTATAGAATTGCACACCTGAAACCTATATAACTTTATTAACCAATGTTACCCCAATAAATTCAATAAAAATAAAAAAGTACAGTGGCCCCCTGTTATTCCCAGGGGATACATTCCAAGACCCTCAGTGGATGCCTGAAACTGCTTGTTGAGAATTAAAAACATTTATTGAAAACCACCTGGGTGCAGGTGGGGTGAGCCTCAGTGGACAGTCACCACCCCCAAGAAGGTAGAGACTTTTTTATAGGGCTTAGTCGTGGCAGGGGGAGTGGGGATTTGGGTAAGGAATCAATCTTGTCCTATCTGTGTTCTTTCTGTCAGTCATGGAGTCAGGTACAGGTGCTCTCACTGCTCGTTTGTGGTTTGTAGGTTGCCAAGTTTCTGTGTTCCTGCGTCCATGTAGGTTACCAAGTTCCTGCTTCTGTGACTGCTTGTACCAAGAAGGGAGTTTTGGACTCGGGATGCCAGGGACTTGGGTTGCCAGGAAACTTATACTATGTATTTTTCCTATATATGCATACCTATGATAAAGTTTAATTTATAAATTAGGCAGTTTCATGGATAGAAGATTTGTTCTTACTATAGGTCCTACCAACTTCAGTATACGGGGTTTTTTTCTTTCCTTATTAAGTCAAAAACTTTCAATTTTTTTACTTAAAGGAAGCCCTTTATGGCTTCTGTTTGCATATCTGAATTGCTAGCATTGTTACTCTTGTGCTTAGTTTTTATTTAAATCATAAACACATATTATATGAAATATGCTGTACCTGCATGCATTGTCTCCTACCTTAGAGCCAGGTAGTTTATAATTTTTGATAGATTGCCAACATTTCCATATATTTTGTCCTTAATTCCTAGATTCATAGAGGAAGTGCCTTTTCTTTTTCCTCTGTTCCAGAGTTCTTCAGATGCTGCGTACTTAGCAAGGCATGTTGGTTTGCGTGTGGGTGTCCCAAAGGAGACTCCAGCTCTTACTCTTAATAGGCTCTGTGGCTCTGGTTTCCAGTCCATTGTGAGTGGATGTCAGGTATGAGCAATATTTAATTCTCTGAAATATGTTAAAAACTATTAGAGAAAATACCCCACTTTTATATAACACTAGGCTTTTATTTATAATGCTTATTAAAAGAGGTCAGTATTTGATATTTGGAAAAATATTCACAGGAAGAAAATCATTTCTTAAAAGCTAATAATCAACTTTGAAGATATAATGTTAAATGGAATAAACCAGTCACAAAAGGACAAACACTGTATGACTGCACTTAAAAGAGTTAGTTAGGGCAGTCAAATTCATAGAGACAGAAAGCAGAATGGTGGTTCCCAGGGCTGGAGAGAGGAGAGCATGGGGAGTTACTGTTTCAACTTCGGAAGATAAGAACACTTCTGGAGATGGATGGTAGTTGCACAGCGATGTAATGTACTTAATGAACTGTACACTTAAAATTGGTTAAAGTGGTGAATTTTATGGTATGTATATTAATCACAATTTTTAAAGCTAATCATGACTATCATTTTTATTAAGGGCTTCCTATGTGCTAGACACTGTCTAGATATACATTCAGTATCCCACTTAATCTTCACAACCATACTATGATGCAAGAACTATTTTTATTCCCATTTTATAGGCAAGGAAACTGATTATTAAAGGCATTAGGGTTACTGAGTTTTAGAGGCGGAATTTAAACCCACGTCTGTGGGACAGTTTGAAACACTGAATAAAACCCTAGCCAGTCTGGCTCAGTGGTTAGAGCGCTCGCTCTAGAACTGAAGGGTCTCAGATTCAGTTCCAGCCAAGGGCACGTACCTTGGTTGCAGGCTCGATCCCCAGCCCCCGTGGGGGCTTGTGCAGGAGGCAACCAATTGATGTGTCTCACATCCATGTTTCTCTCTCTCTCCCTCTCCCTTCCACCCTCTCTGAAAAACAATGGAAAAAATATCCTCAGCTGAGGATTTAAAAAGAAAAGAACGAACCACTAAATAAAGACTATAAGACTACGAAGAGAGTCAGAGAATTGAGAGGGTGATAAGGCATATATTTTATAAAGAGGAACTACGTGATACTGTTGGTAGAAGTACAAACTACTATGATCTTTTTAAGGGATAATTGAGCAAATAGATTTGTTCCCCTGAGCACCAGGAAAAGGCATGCAGTGAAATCCTATTTTGTCTTCATTTTATTACAAAAGAAAATAAAAAACATATTTTGTAATGAATAAATTATTTCTATAACAACATATATTAGTGATCCTGATTTTCCTAGCAATCATTTCAAACACTGGGCTCTTGGAGGCTTGTGATTTGCTTCTTTTCTGAGGAATGTAAATAGTGGAAGAGTTGAAAGAATGAAATGGGTCCTTTTTATGAGTCCCCTAGGTTAACTTGGTTCTTGTGAATCTGTGGTCTCCTTCAGATTCATCCATAAATAGGATAAATTTTACTTTTGCCATTTTAAAGAGTTTGTTCTTACCCACACCTGAAACCTATATGTGATCATATTAACCAGTCACCCCAGTAAATTTAATTTAAAAAAAAGAATTTAAAAAAATTTAAAAATAAAGGGTTTTTTCTTTATTATCTGCTGGCAATCTGTACATTTAAGCCAGACAATAGCTCTGCTAATTTTTAAGATTTGTATTGAATTAAGAATTACCACGTGTTACTTGTTCACAAATGATTGAAAACTTGGTTTTTCCCCCTCCTTGTATTTTGGGAATGGATACGTTAGCATTTGCTTTTAAGTTACTTTAAAAGTATTTCGTTCAGAAACACCGTAAGCTAGGCTAGTTACTAATTAGACTTAATATTAGTTTACTGCTTAACACATACTTTTTAATATGCACTTCTGTCAGGATAAAAGGGTTTTGTTGTTGTTGTTAATGTTTTTAAATAGGAAATTGCTGTAAAAGATGCTGAAGTTGTCTTGTGTGGAGGAACTGAAAGCATGAGCCAGGCTCCCTACTGTGCCAGAAACGTGCGTTTTGGAACCAAGTTTGGAGCAGATCTCAAGGTTAAAATTTTTTAAATTATTTCTCAAGCTAGTATACTAATAATTTTAATAACACCATTTTGGGGGAGAGAAAACTAATTTTGAAAACAATTTTGTTAATAGGAGATTGGCAAGATATGAATCATTTGAATTTTGTAAACTATTTTAAAACCTTTTTTGGTTGTTAGTTTTGACATTTTAATCCACATAAAATTAGATTTTATCGTAGCATCTTGGCACACCTCTGGTAGTGGAATTAACATTTGGGGAAATGGAAGAGAAAAGCAGACGAAAAAGATAGGTGAAGGTTGAATTAATGTCTACTGGACAATTAGTAACCCAAGTAATTAAATCTTTCTCATGATTTATGGAAGTTTTATTTCTGGAGCAAGCTCCATTGAATAGATTTCTTCTTCATCACAGAAAACATCTCTCTAAATAGAGAGTATATTGTCCCATATCAGTCAGATAACACTGATCCTCACCTTTGAAAGCTACAACACTGGAATGATAGCCCTGGTGAAGAGTGATAGGCAGCGTGCTGTCCTTCCCATATGAAAGGGCTAATGACATTTTATACTCTTAGCACTTTTCAGTTGTAATGATTGATTTACACTGTTCATCCCATTTCTCACCTGGCTGTTTTGAAAGTTGAAAAGAATAAGACTTAGAAAAGATGAGATAGTTTTAGACACCAAATATATTTGAGAAAACCTTTGGAGACATAGGTCAGACTCAAAAGGTGAGGCAATGTAGAGGAAACAGGTGGGGCACACTTACCAGACTAACACATGGGATAATAAGGAACAACTTCTGTTGCTCAAGAGGCCTTTCCCAGGTTCTGTTCAACTTCATAGTAACTGATAGCATCAGCTGTACCTATCACTTGAAGGCACAGGATGAAAAAGGAGCACAGAATATTGTTTCCTACAGAGCTCCTAACTGTGGCTCACAAAGGTGGCTGCAGGGGAACATCACATAAGGACTCGGCGTCAGGTTTCTTACAAAATGTAATCTTGAGGGGTTTTGATTGTGGAATAACTTCCTGTACTCTCACCCTGAACATTTAGCACTGTTGACTCTTCCGAGCGCCACGTTTAGAGAGAGAGGAGAACGTATCATTTTATTATGTCACCGGATGTTTTTATTAAATGTCCCAAAAATGAATATGAATAGTAGTAATAGTAATGCTATCAGAAAATCTAATTTTACTTTTATTTATTGGAACTGTTAATTATTTAAATTTAAAAAAATTATAGCATATTACTTTCAAAAGATCTGCTTTAACAAATCACTTTATTATTAATGTCTTTTAATAGCTAGAAGATACTCTATGGGCAGGACTAACAGATCAGCATGTCCAGCTCCCCATGGGAATTACTGCAGAGAATCTTGCTTCAAAACATCAAATAAGCAGAGAAGACTGTGACAAATACGCCCTGCAGTCACAGCAAAGGTGGAAAGCTGGTCAGTGAAACTGGATATTATAAATATTCATAGAAAAAAAACTATAGTGGGGTGGAGGGGGGTAGGTGAAATGGATGAAGAAGTCAGAAGTACACACTTCCAGTTATAAAGTAAATGAGTCCTGGGTACATAATGTACCACATGACGGCTATAAAAAATAATTCTGTATTGCATATTTGACAACTGATAAGAAGGATCTTAAAAGTTCTCATCACAAGAAAAACAATTTGTAACTTCCTCCTGGTGACAGATGTTAACTAGACTTATTGTGGTGATCATTTTGCTATATATACAAATATCGAATTATTATGCTGTATACCTGAAACTATTATGTTAATTATACCTCAATTTAAAAAAGAAATATATAGAAAAGATTTTTATCATTTCAGATAATGATCATTTAATAATATTAGTTTAAAATTATATCTTTTGAAAGTCACATTTTTTATCATTCCTTTGTTTTTAGATGATTAGATATTTGATTAATGATTGCAAAATTAACTGGGAACTTCTCTTTGGAAATAAGTTAATACTGCTTAAAAAGTGGTATCGTGAATTGGCCCTACCCATACTGGTACTGTTGCCAGTAGAACACTCTGAGAGCTGATATACTGGGGCTACTGGGACAGAGAGGATGTCCTCTGTAAAGCATATTATACTCACAAGGAGGGGATGATATGTATGGAAAAGGCCCATTGGGTATCCTTTTATGGGACCCCCTCCCATTCCTAACTGGGAATCATTGCACCTGACTCAGAGACTGAGCACAAGTCCAAGTCCCTAGCTCTGGGGTCCTGTGTAACACTGCACACTGCTCCTCAACTAGTTCAGAACAAGTGACAGAAGTTCTTTTATCAGTATAATGAGTTGAAGAAATCTACTAGTCTTCTGAAAAAGATTTTTAAAATTAAACTCTTATAAACAAATGGAAACTCTTGTTTGGGGTATTAAATATTTACTTAGAATAGTGAAGATAAAGTCCATTTTCACATTTCAGAGGGATAAGTGGGATGGACCTGAGGCTATCCAACTCATCTTCTGAGTTTTTTAGTTACACATTTAAAATGGAAGGGTATTGGTCTAAAGGTCAAGAATTATTAGTTCTATTTCTAATTTTGCCACATACATGTTATCTATTTATTCACTGAGCATCTGTAAAAGAGATAAATATGTATCTCTAATAATAAAAAATATTTGTGTTTCCTATTTCCCTAATACAGTTGTGAAAACCAACTAAGAGAAGTGTTTAGCCTGCTGTAAAACATTATTAAAATTAAGGTGTCATTATTTCTGACATATCCTAGTTTTAAAGCTTTGGATTACTGTAGTCCACTCTAGTGAGTGGAGATGGAAGTAGGTAAGCTGTTTTATGTAGAACTGTGTCAGTAATCACTCATATAATTTCTTCAGGTTGCTTGTCAGTAAATTGCAAGCATAGATTACTTGGTGACATAGGCAACTTGGTAACTTTTTTTCTTATTGTGCTAAGAACACCTAACATGAGATCTGCCCTTTAAACTTTTAAGTGTATGCTACATTATTTTTTAATCCACTTTTTAAATATTTTTTATTGATTTTGGAGAGAGGAAGAGAGAGGGAGAGAGGGATAGAAACATCAATGATGACAGAGAGAATCATTGATCGGCCGCCTCCTGCACACCCCCTCCTAGGGATTGAGCCTGTAGCTGAGTATGTGCCCTGACTCAGATTCAAACCATGACCTCCTGGTTCATAGGTCAATACTCAGCCACTGAGCCACGCCCGCCCGGCTATGATACATTATTGTTGTACAACTTGATGGCTTTTTTTGTTTGTTTGTTTGGTTGGTTGGTTGGTTGGTTGGTTAATCCTCACCTGAGGATACTTTTTTCCCCATTGCTTTTTCAGAGAGAGTGGAGGTACGGGGGGAAGAGAGAGGAAAAAACATGTGTGAGAGAGCCACATCAACTGGTAGCCTCCAGCACTCGCCCCGACCAGGGGTGGGAAGCAAAACCAAAGCCCAGTTATGTGCCCTTGACCGGGAATTGAACCCGAGGCCCTTTGGCATGCGGGCTGATGCTTTAACTATTGAGCAGGGCAAACTTGGTAACTTTTTAATTACTTCTCTCTCCCAGAGAAGTTTTTAAAAGGGCATTAAATCCATTTAGTGTCATTACTCATGTAGCTAACAGACAAATACTGCTAAGATTCTAACAGTACCTTGTAAAAAAATTGTAGTTAGAAAAAGAGAAAATCTAAATTATAATTTTAAAAAGATGCAGAATTTATCTGCATAGAAGCATGACAGTATATTAAGTTCTCCAATAGACAAGGTAAGGTATATAAATAATAAAGGCTCATATTAAAGTAGGCTGTGAGGAAAGGGTAGACCAGAAATCAAGTTGAAGGATATGTTTGATTTAGTTTCTTTTCTGGTTTCTCTTCTTTTTCCCCCATTCTTATGATATTCCTTCAACTATTTTAGCTAACGATGCTGGCTACTTTAATAGTGAGATGGTGCCAATTGAGGTGAAGACAAAGAAAGGAAAACAGACAATGCAGGTAGATGAGCATGCTCGGCCCCAGACAACCCTGGAACAGTTAAATAAACTCCCTCCGGTATTCAAGAAAGAAGGAACTGTTACTGCAGGAAATGCATCGGTAGGTAGCATCACAGATTATCCTGAACGCTTCCTGATGTGTTCGATGCAGAATCATCATGCAGTACCTTTTAGATACTTTTCATGCTAGTCTTTAGTTATTTAGCTTAAACTAATAGAATTCACATTCTATTAATCTAGGTTTTCGTAGTTTAAAATATTTTAGGTAGGGGCCCTTATATAATACTTTCCATTTCGTAGTTTTTCAGAATGTTAGAAAGAAATCTACCTGGTTTATTATTTCCGTTTTCATACTTTTTTCCCTTTCTCATGTATACAATTCATCAGATTTCTCCTTATATCTACCCACATCTGGATATAAGCTTTTCCTTGGCATTCTTTCCTATTTTCCCTTAGTGAGGTGGTATTCTGTGCTTAAAACTATCTCTTTAATCCACTGAGTACCTTTAGTACAAATTATGGCACTGCTTCCTACATATCCTAAAGTACTACTCCATTAGTTCAAACTGATTAACTGTATTCTTTACCCTCTAGTTAATCTTCTGATTTTGTTTCCAAGGGTGTATCCGATGGTGCTGGAGCTGTTATCATAGCCAGTGAAGATGCTGTTAAAAAACATAACTTCACACCACTGGCAAGGGTCGTGGGCTACTTTGTGTCTGGATGTGATCCCTCTATCATGGGTATTGGTAAGTTTGTAGTTATATAAACTAGTTCTGTTATATATTTCTGGAAATAAGTCTTCTTTGGCTTTGTGATTCCAGAAACAGTGGCCAAATCAAGGTCACTTGTGTAGAAAAGATTGGTAATCGGTCTTTTAAACAACCAATCTTTATGAAAAATTGTGTCAGTCTCAGTAGGAAAACCAAGACCATGTAAACTCCTTGTGGGCAGTAATCATGTCTTATTATCCATTTGAGATCTTTAAAATTAACAGACAGAAAATAATAAAGAAGAATTACAAGGTACTGACAAGATAAAAAGAAATGGGAGATGGGAGACATCATGGGTAAAATAATGGCTGTATGAGCAGATTAACATCCTGTCAGGTGTTTTATGCATGGTCATCAATGTAATTCATTTAATCTTCCTAGCTCTAGTAAGTGAAATTTCTTTGTGAATGAAAAAGCTGAGGCTTAGTGAAGTTGTCTTAACAGTTCCAAACCAGTGTATCACAGAGCCAAGATGTGAATCCAGGTCTAAGTCAAGTGCTCTTTCACTGTGTTGCCTCAGGAAGTCAGAGTAATACTCACCTGTCTCAGCTGAGGCTTAATAGGAAAATGAAGAATTATAAACCATGTATCTCAACTGGCAAAGTACTGGCAGGAGAAGATTTGTAACTCCTTACAAATCTTAGCTGGATTTATATAGTGTTAGCTGGAAAAATATAAATTAGAAGTAGAACAAAAAGCTTTTCCCTGATTGCACTCCTGGGAACCGCAGATGATGCTGAATTTTATTTTTTAATTTAAAAAATTTATTTTTATTTTCATTTTTTTAAGAAAGGCAAACTGCCATATGCAGCCCCTCATTTGGATGTGGCTGGAGTCTTAGAAGCTTGAATCCTGTACATTCTCCTACAAATGGGCCTTGAGTGCCTGTTTGAAGGTTTTAGCAGAGAAGCGCAGCTACTCCTATACCTTGACCAAAGAATAGTCCTTTCCTCTATCAGGGAAGGTTGTCATCTTCGGCCGAGCATGCAGCTTTGGGAGGGATGCACATGGAGTGGTGGTGGGGTAGGAAGGGGACCCCTGGCTAGCCAGCCAGATCAGCCTAATCAGCCCTGGTGATCAGTGGGGTGGCCAGGTTACCCTCACATCTGTTGCTGAATTTTAGTTCCTGTCATCGTTCTCAGAACTAACTAGGTACCTCACAAAAATAAAATTGGTGTCCAAAGGTTCTGATCTGTTCCATTTATACTCTCATACCCCAAGGAAAAGCCTGCCCTAGGATATAGGTTCAGATTCTTGATAGGTCCAAAGATTTTTTCTGTGAGCTTAGTTAGACCATTTTTGACTAACTAAAACATAGGTCCCAAGATAGAAGGGGGATGATTTGTTGCTGACCCGCCTTCTCAAAGATCCTTCAGTGTGTAAACCTCCAGGTCTGACTCAGATAACACCACTTATGCTGATCTGGGACTAAGTTAAAACCCAACACATTTGCTGCCATGTCCTGTACCGAATTTCTAAGAAAGAAAGCTAGCATATCCATACCTTGTCATCTTTCACTGTGTTATAAACTATGTCACCAAAAACTGCAGACTATGTAAACATCTGTTAAAAGTCAACTTTTTCCCTAATAGTCTGAAAGTTTATTAGCATTCAGCAATAACAGCTTTTGTCATAGAGATGGAAGGTAGCTTAAAAAATTAAATATCTGTATATTGGTATGGCATTTATCACTTCAGTATCTAGAGCAGTGGGTCCCAAGCCCAAATGATCATCAAAATTCACCTGTAACCCTCACCCCACATGATTTTGTTTTAGTAGCTCTAGGGTGGAGCATAGGAATATGGGTTTTTTCAGTGTACCTAGATGGTTTTGAGGATCAAATTTATCTGATGTGGGTAAGTAGTTATTTTATAGTTCTTTTTCAGTTTAACCTCATTTAATATGTTCTGATACATTAACATAGTGAGTAAGCAAAGAAAGTGTAGTTTGCCTTCCTTCTATTCCAGGGCCTGGATATTTCCCCCTTAGTACAGTGAATGCATTGTGGATTATTTTTTTCCCTCTGGGCTTGACCAGAGCTATATATGCCAAATGCCCCACGGTGTCAGATGTCCCCTTCATCTATACAGTTCGTCTCTCAGTTGTAGTATGGGATTAAACAAGGTACGTACATGGAGAACACTGGATACACAAGCAGGGAGAAGAGAGAATTGAGTATCTGGTGGGGATGGATTCATCAATCTAATTTCTAAGAACAGTTATTCCTCAGTTACACAGTTACTCAGCATACAGCAATCCTTAGCCCTGCAGGGTAGCTGCAGACCCAGACAAAGGGGGAAAGCAGGACCTGAAGAGAACAGTAATGGCTCTGATGAAGGACACAGTTATGGAAGGTGGGCTCCCTGGAACTCTCCCAGGGTGGTAGTGGTGGGGGTTGGTTGGTAGAACTTTGAGCCTCTTCAGCTGGAGCAGCTCTAGCTTTATCTATTTGGATTTTATTTGTAGAAAGAATTTGAATGCTTAAAAAGGTTAAAAATCAATTCAGAGCACTTCTGATGAGAAGCTTATAGCCCAAAAAGGTGCCCAAGGTCACACGGCTATTAGTGGTTGGAGCCAGGACTAGAAATAAAGTCTCCTTTTCCCAACAAGAATGCTCTACCTTCCTGAGTCCCAGTAAACAGCAGAGTGGTATGGGAACAGTCCTTTAAAAATCAGGTTGTGGCTTAGCATATTGTTACAATTGCCTGTAATAATTCTGAGTTCACATGAACACACTGAGGCATGCTTACTATGGTTATGAAGGCAGGGAAGTATGTGCAATGGTTTTACTCCTCAGCTTTTAGTTCTCTATATCTTTCACCCCTGTAGGATACTTCATCCCCTGACTGTGCTGAATAGCTGATGCTCTGCTACTGATTATCCGTCCCATTTTCATGCTTTAGAGATACAAAGAGAATGTGGATTTAGATTTTTTTAAATATGTGCTTTTAAATTGATTTGAGAGAGAGAGAAAGGGAGAGGGAGAAAGAGAAACATGGATGAGAGAGATACATTGATCAGCTGCCTCCTGCACGCCCGCCACTGGGGTCAAGCCCAAAACCCAGGCCAGTGACCTCTCCATGCATGGGACATCACTCAGCCAACCGAGCCACATCAGCCAGAGCTGGATTTAGATTCTGTATTAAATCAGTAGCCAGCACAGAACTGGTGCTTTATGTTAAAAAGCATGGCCCTGCCAATCAGCAGACTGTTGTCTAAAGAACATTTTAAGTAGGTGACAAAATAAATTACATTGTATTTAGATTGCATTATGCTTTTCTCATAAAGACTGATTTCCTATTTTACCTTGGCAATATCTGTGAAGCTTGTTATAGAATATTTGACTACTTGAATTCAACAGGACATACCACATAATTTTCTTTTTTAGACATTTGTGACAATTTTGTTCTTTTGGAACAGATAGAGAAGTAGATATTCATCCATAGCCAGATTTTTTGCCTTTTGTCGGGGGGGAAATCACTTTAAGATTATGAAGGCCCAGCCAGGCGTGGCTCAGCGGTTGAGCGTCGGCCTAGGATCCAGGCGATCAGGGTTCAATTCCCGGGCTGGGCACATGCCCGGGTTGCGGGCTAGGCAACTGATCAATGACTCTCTCATCATTGATGTTTCTCTCTCTCTCTCCCTCTCCTGTCTTCTCTGAAATCAATACAGATATATTTTTAGGGAAAAAATTATGAGGAATATTAAACTGTCATTGATCATCACAAATCTGGGAGCTAAAGCTTTATTATGTGGATTTATATTTCTTCAGTGGGGGTTTTTATTTAAATTCTCTGCCTACTGTTGGAGTTATGTCTACATGCTTCTTGGAGTTATAAGTGCCTCGGCTTCCTCTCTTGCTATGCCTGTATGGGGAAGCTGCTGCTATTTCTTCTGTATGGCCCAAATGGGCCTGAAAATTCAGAGTGCAGGCATGATCACTTCTATACTGAAAATGCATGTGATTTGTATCCTAAGAGAGCACTCAGGCTGCCTTGCCAGTTGGTATTAAGTATGATCTATAAATGACTGCAAAACCCCACATATGACTCCTTTGGCTGTTAGAACTCTTAAAGCCATTTATGGTAGAACTTTTCATGCAAGTCTCTCATCTACAATTTGACTGCATAAACAGCTCTTCACCTTTGGCTCATTTCCCTCCCCTTTTTATTTATTGGGGTGACACTAGTTAATAAAATCATGCAGGTTTCAGGAGCCTGTTTCCACAACACATCATCTGTGCACTGTATTGTGTGTTCACCACCCCAAGTCCGTCCCCTCCCGTCGTCATTTACCCTCCCTATGCCCTTCTCCAGCAGGCCCCCGGCAGTCCTCACACTTGTCTGTATCCATCTTTCTTCCTCTCTTTTTCTCTTTTTCTCAACCCCTCCACCCCTCCTCACCCAGCTCCCCAATCCCCCGACCCCTAGCCGCTCTCAGCCTGCTCTCTGTCTATGGGTCTGTCTCTATTTTGCTTGATAGTTTATTTTCTTCATCGGATTCCACATATGAGTGAAATCATGTGGTACTTGTCCTTCTTCGCCTAGTATATTTCACTTAGCATAATGCTCTCCAGGTCCATCGATGCTGTCACAAAAGGTAAGATTTCCTTCTTTTTTACAGCTGAGTAGTATTCCATTGTGTAAATGAACCACAGCTTTTTTTATCTACTCATCAACTGCTTCCAAATCTTGGGCATTGTAAATAACACTGCAATGAACATAGGTCTCATTTTTTGTTTCTTTATTGTTACATCATTTAATAGTGTGCTTTCAAGGTGGAAAGATTTGTAGCTACTACCAGCTGTCACATTATTGACCTGTTTAGTAAAGATGGAAAATCTGATGCATAAATAAGTATAAGATGAAATTGATTCTTGTTCTAATGTAGGTCCTGTCCCTGCTATCAATGGGGCACTGAAGAAAACAGGACTGAGTCTTAAGGACATGGATTTGGTAGAGGTAAGTGTTCTACTTTTTCACAGCATGAATAAACCACCAGCTTCTATAGCATGAATGACTTCAGTTTGGTATTTTATAGCTCTTTTTATTTTAGTACTGTTAGCCTTTTCATATGATGCACATCTAAATAAGTGTTACTTTCATTACACAATTTATGTTGGTACTTTTCCTGACCTGGTTAAAATGTTTTATTTATATTTGAATAATTAAAACAGCCTGATTTCTCCTACTAAAATATAAATTCCTGGAAAAATATTAGGACCTTATAAGACTCTATTAGACTTTAGACTATTAATGTGCTTGTTGAATTGAGAGGTTTAAAAAAAAAAGTTTTTATTGATTTTTTTTTTTAGAGAGAGAGGAAGGGAGAGGGAGATAGAAACATCATCTGTCGGCTGCCTCCCACACACCCCTTAGAGGGGACTGAGCCTGAAACCTGGGCATGTTGCCTGACGGGGGATCAAACCAGCGAACTCTTGGTTCATAGGTCGATACTCAACCAGGGTGCCACACTGACCGGGCTGAATTGAGATGATTTTTATATAAAGTAGAGGAGAAATAAGTAACTTTAACCCTACTTTATGGATTAAAGTGAAAAAATACAAGTAAAGAATTGACCTAATAGAAAAACAATATCTGGTGCCAAATCTAGAAGTTTCTTATCCTCCCACCAAGTTAAGACATCCTTCCCACCCCCCGAAATTTACCTTGGCTTTTAGTTGTGGCTTGGTTTGGGATGCACCTATCATACTTTTTAGGAAAACTTTAATAATTTGGAACCTTAAATTTATTGATAGAGTGATTTTTTAAAATGTTGGTTTAGAACAAAGGCATCTTAAGTACTTAGCACAATTAAAAGAAAAAAATACTTAAAGCTGGATTATGTACATTCTCCATTTTGGGAGTATTTGGAAATTTTAAATAATTAAGCATATGCTGCCTGGCCAGAGTAGCTTGGTTGAGCATCATCCTATGCACTGAAAGGTTGCAGGTTCGATTCCCAGTCAGGGCACATACCTGGGCTGCGGGTTCAATCCCCTGGTCAGAGCATGTGCGGAAGGCAACAGATCGATGTTTCCCTCTCACATCGATGTTTCTCTCTCTCTCCCTCTCCCTTCCTCTCTCTAAACATGTCCTCAGGTGAGAATTTTTAAAAAATTAATCTTAAAAAAATATAATTAAGCCTGGCTGGGCGTGGCTCAGCGGTTGAGCGTCAACCTGGGATCCAGGTGATCAGGGTTCGATTCCCGGTCAGGGCACATGCCCGGGTTGCGGGCTGCAGCCTATCAATGACTCTCATCACTGATGTTTCTAGCTTGCTCTCTCCCTCTCCTTTCCTCTCTCTGAAATCAATAAAGATATAGTTAAAATATATACATATATATATAATTAAGCATATGCTGCTTAACACTGGTAAATAATTAATATAACAAAGAAGCTATCTGTATTTAAATTGATAGTGAATGGGGCCTTTTCACTCTGTGAAAATTACCACATTTGTATTAGCAAATAGGTACCACTAAATTTCTGGCTTTAGATTTCATACTTAAAACTCTATTGAAATATATCAGCTATGCAAAGCTATTCATACTCATTTATAGAGGTACAGGTACTCAAGGACATAGCCCTGTTATGATTGTCTTTAGAACATTTGATGATCATGTAGTAGTTCTTCCAAGGCTCAAAAGCCTAGTTTCACAGCATATTCTAAGCCTCTTAGTACCCCCTTGAGCATGACTGTATAAAATGGAAAAATAATGTTGAATCTAAGGACAAATAGAGCACCATCTTGGGAGAGCACAAAATAGAGTAGGAAAGAACACAAGATTCAATTTTGGTCCCAACTCTATAAAAGTTACCTTTCTTAAAATCACTTTTCTTATCTATAAAATTCCCTGAGATCCTATGAAAATAGAGTGCTATAAACTTGAAGGAAGGTCATTCTCATAGCCAGCCTCATTAATTGTGACACAACAATATGATACTTTTACATTCTGTCACATTTTAACATAGTAACCACCCCTCTTATGTATCTGGCTCTAGCTCTGAAGGTTTGTTCTTTATTGTCTCTATCAGTCTCTTCTTGGAAGTATGGGTAATAGTACCAGGGCGTAATAACAATAATAGCAAGCATTTTTTTAGTACTTGCCATGTATCATGTAATATACTAGACACTTAATACCCATGATGTAACTTAATCTTGACAATATCCTTAGGATGATACTACAGTCACATTTTACTATTGAGGAAACTTGATTGCCAAGAGAACTCAAAGAACATGCATATAGCTAAGATTTGGACCATCCATCTAGGTCCAGAACCTGTGGGCTCTACAGTATCCCACTGCCTCTAGTGGTCATGTATAAAAGTACTGAGGTCTTCTTTTCTCTAAGGGATGCATGTGACTTAAAGTACCATTTTCGAAGCTGATATTTTTACAAAGAACAACTAAAGATAAAATAACCTTGCAAGGTAATTTAAATAGAAAAACAAACAGCAAAATTAGTTATCAATGGGACTGAACAATTCTCAGTTAAAAATCAGCTTGTGAATAAGGATTTTTATCAGTGTTTCCATTGTTTTGAAGGTGAATGAAGCTTTTGCTCCCCAGTACTTGGCTGTTGAGAAGAGTTTGGGTCTTGACCCAAGTAAAACCAATGTGAATGGAGGAGCCATTGCTTTGGGTCACCCATTGGGAGGATCTGGATCAAGAATTATCGCACACCTGGTTCACGAATTAAGGTATTTGCTAAAAATTGTATTTCCGTTTTGCCTTTTTTATAGACATGCATGGATTTAGGTTTCTCCAGAACAAGCCAATATTTCATTCTTCCTCCAGTCCCCCTTGCACTGCCTCTCATGAGGAACGAATTACTTGGGTACCCATTTTCAGCTGACTTTAGAGATGACTCCATTGACTTGTTAGCGGCTCTGCTCTTGGCATGCACGCTGCACTGTTCCTCGTTTTTGCAGTGTTCACTGAGGGGCCAGCATGCATATGGCCCCATCCCTGTGCTGGTGCACAGCAGTGAACAAATAATGAGGCCCTGGTTCTCATAGCACTTTCAGTCTAGTGCCAGTTACAGGAATAAGATAAAATTATTTAAGAAAACAAAGAAAATGCTGAGGGGGTTCCTACCTGGATGCTGTCTTTTAAAGAAACCTCAGCAAATTGACGATTAGAACCTGAGCCAAGTTTTTCCTTCACTGCTTGCAGAGTTCCAAGAGGAGCCTTCTGTTTGATAGTTTTCTGTTTTCATAGAAGAGGTTCTACTGGTACTGTGTATTTTGGACCATTTTTCTCTGTTAGTAGAAAAATTGCAAACAAAACCAAGTATGTCAGGCCAAAAAGTCATGCTGGCTCCATTAGGTTAAGGTAAATAGGACTTTGCCCGGCCGGGCGTAGCTCAGCGGTTGAGCGTCGACCTAGGATCCAGGCGATCGGGGTTCGATTCCCGGTCAGGGCACATGCCTGGGTTGTGGGCTTGATCAATGACTGTCTTATCATTGATGTTTCTATCTCTCTCTCTCCCTCTCCTTTCCTCTCTCTGAAATCAATAAATATATATATATTTTTTTTTTTTAATTTAAAAAAAGGTAAATAGGACTCTTATTTCACTTAGTGAGTCATTGAGTTGAAATGCACAAAAATAATTCCTGATTGTTTTGTCAAGGTCATTGTCTCAAGACTGAGGAGTGAAAACAAATGGTACTTTAAAGGAGTCTAATTTTTATGAAAGGGACATGAAATGTTTCTTAATTATTTGCCTTTCACATGGACAAACTTCACTAGTTACACTTACTCTAAGGTGCCATAAAAATGGAAAACCATATAAATCAAAGGGGCTGTTTACTCCCCCTTTTTCAACTTCCCAGTTATCTCAGTTACTTCCTACCCCCGCTCCTTTCTTACAGCGTACGTACCTAAGCTTGTAGGTATGCTTCAGCCTCCTTCTGTGTTACTACCTTCAC